GAACTGATGCCAGGGGGGCTTAAGTGGAGAACAAATGTTTTGAGAATGATAAGGGCAATGAATGTACAAATGTGCTTTACACAATTGATGTATGTATGGATTGTGATAAGAGTTGTATGAGCCCCTCATAAAACAATGAGAGAAAAAAAGAAAAAGAAAACAACAACAACAAAAACCCCAGCAAAACAAGTGTCGCTAAGGGATGAACCCAGGTATGGACTCTTGTTTTACAGCAATATGCCTCCTGTGGACCCACCATCTTCAGCTAGGTACACTACCACGCCATCCTTGGCATTTGGATAAAAGGGCTCCAACTCCAGGCCTGTTGGGGTGTACACTGGCTCAGGAAAAGGAGTCCAATCTGCCAAAACAAACAAATAAGTAAATAAGAGAGACGGACATCATCTTTTGAATCTCATCTCAAAGGAAAACAGAAAACATTCATTACATATCTACAAACGATGCGTTCGCAGATGTAGGCCGAAAGTTGATGTTATCCGAGGCTGAACTTTCCACCAAGGTATAAAACAAGAAATGAAAGGATGTGGGGGCAGGGGGGTCTGACCTCTGACTTCTCGCAGCAGGGAAGGAAAATGACCTTCATCAGCCCAGCTGCCCAAAGGTGATTTCTCCCAGGCTGAGGTCAGACACCACTCCACCCTCCAGTCTTCCTCGCCAATTCGGATATCAACTGTCCCTCCCACAGCACTCCCTCTTTCAGCTCACATTGCTCGGCTGCCCACAGCGTGGTCTACTTGCAGCAGTTCTCAACATGTGGGATGCGACCCTTTTGGGGGTCAAACGACCCTTTCAGAGGGGTCACCCGATTCATAACAGGAGTAAAATGACAGGGATGAAGTAAGCAACGAAAATGATTTTATGGTTGGGGGGGTCACCACAACAGGAGGAACTGTATTAAAGGGTCACGGCATTAGGAAGGTTGAGAACCACTGTCCTGCCTCTTCCCAAACAGGATCAACCTTAATTATGTGGATGAAGCAAGGCTTTGGGGACCATCATTAGCCCATGAGACACAGCTGAAAACGAGAAGAAATGGCTGCAAATAGCCATTAAGAATTAGAATGTGGAATGTACAAAGTAGGAATGAATATACATAATAAAGAAAATTGGAAGTCATCAACAAAGGAAATGGAACCCGTGAAGATCAGTAGGTAAAATGAACTAGCATTTGCCACTTTGAATCCAGGGGTCATGTGGCTTACTCTGCCAGGGAGGACAAATTCAAGAGGAATGACATCACATTCATCATCAAAAAAGGCCACTTCAAGATCAGTCTTAAAGTACAATACATTCTATGATAGAGTACTATCTAACACCTACAAGGAAGACCAGTTTATTTATCTATTATTCAGATGTATGCACCAACCACTAAAGGTAGTAAAGAAATTGAGGAGTTCCACTAGTGTCTTTAGTCTGAAATGGATCAAGCATGCAATCAAGATGCATGGATAATTAGTGGTGATTGGAATGCAGATGCTGGAAACCAAGCAGAAGGAATGCTATTGCTGCTTGGTGGCATCAAGTTGGTCCCTACTCCCAGCGACACGACCCTAAGTACAATAGTCGACATACTGCTGGGTCCTGCCACCCTCCACTTCAGCAAGCACAGGGTCCTCCTTTACCGGGACTTGTCCCTTCTGACAACATGTTCAAAGCACATGAGATGAAGTCTTACCACCCTTGCTTCTAAGGATCATTCTGGCCATGTTTCTTTCAAGACAAATTTATTTTTTGTTTTGGAGGATGGGGTAGGGTGGGGTGGGGGGGTCCACAGTACATTCATTATTCTTCACCAGCATCATAATTCAAATGCATCAATTCTTCTTTGGTCTTCCTGATTTAACGTCCAGCTTTCATATGCAGATGAGGCTAGTGAAAATACCATGGCTTGGGTCAGGGGTACCTCAATCCTCAAAGTAACCTCCTTTCTGTTCAACACTTTAAAGAGGTCTTGTGCAGCAGATGTTTCTGCTGCTTTCCGGAGCATCGATGGTGGAGCCAAGCAAAATGAAATCCTCGAGAATTTCAACCCTTTCTCCATTTATCATAATGTCTACTTGTCCAGTTGTGAGGATTTTGGCCTTCTTTACATGGAGTTGCAATGCAGACAGAAGCCTACAATCCTTGATCGTCCTCAGCAAGCACTTCAAGTCTGTCTCACTTCCAACAAGCACGGCTGTGCCATGTGCACAGTGCAGGCTGTTAAGAGGCCTTCCTCTAACCCTTCTTCATGTAATCCAGCTGGTCTGATGATCTGCTCAGCACACAGACTGAATAAGTATGGTGAGAGGATACAGCCCTGACACACACCTTTCCCCATTTTAAGCCATGCAGTTCCTTGTTCTGTTTGCACAACTGCCTCGACCCATGAGCACAATTAGGTGTTCTGGAATTCTTATTCTTTTCAAGGATATCCATAGTTTGTTATGATCCAAACAGCTGCATGCTTTTGGCATAGTCAAAATGCAAGTGAACATCTTTCTGGTATTCTCTGCTTTGAGCCAAGGTCCATTGGACATCACTAATGATACCGTCTGTTCCATGTCCGCTTCCCACTCTGGTGTGAACTTCTGGCAGGGACTTGTCAATGCACTACTGTAATCATTGTTGGATGATCTTCAGTAATATTATCCTGCATGTGATATGGGGGATGCTGTTCTATAACTTGTGCATTGTGTAGAGTCACCTTTTGGGGGGAATGGATACACATATCTTTCAGTCCATTGGCCGGGTGTCTTCCAAATTTCCTGATGCAGACAAATGAGTACTTCCAGTGCTTCATCAGTGTGTTAGACAGGGTTCTCTAGAGAGATAAAACCAAATTGCTGATAATTTAATATATTTATTTATAAAGATAATTAGATATATAACAAGAAATGAACTG